ACCTCTGCTCGCACTCTCCACTTTTCTGTCTGCAGACTCGGTTTGTGTGCAGCTCAAATTACCTCCTATTTTGTTATATCTTTGCCCTGGCAGGAGGCAGTGCCCTGATTCAACAATTGGGCTGTTATTAGCCACCTTCCTTTTAACACCATCCCTTCAGCCACAATATAAAAGGCAGTTTTTTGCTGATCTTATTGTCTATAGAAGAAGAAAACATCTACATGGGTTGTGATCACTAAAGAAGTTTCGCCTTCTTTCATACGTGTCAATAAAAAACAGCCAAAGGAGTTTAAATTATTGCTTAATTGACTGATGCACTTTTCAAAAAAAATTATCATCAAACGAACAAACAAAAAATAAGACTTATACCTAAGCAGTATATCTTAAATAAAAATATAAGCTTAAGTCAGACCATACGAATTTAGAAATCTTTCTAATAGTTTCTGATTTCAGGAAAGCTTTATCTTCCGATTTATGTTAAATTGTCAAGAGCTCTTCACTGTTTAAAGATTCTCTGTCACCATATACATTCCCTCTCTTACTAAGTTAAAATAATTAATGATTTATGATATATTTGTATGCTGAAAGTCCATCAAAAACTTTAAAAATTCTTTTCTAGCCCTCAGAGAAAACCTCTGGAGTTTTACAGATGTAGCCTGTATTTTCAATTATTTTTAACAATCAAGTCACAGCAGCAAAGAAAGAGTCCTCTACGCTAACAATCCTATCAGCCACTCGTCATGACTTAGGCAGTGAACTAGGAATTTTCAAGCATTAGTGGTCAGCTCATTAAAACTTCTCAAGTAGGTATTTCTTTCTTCATTTACGAGAGGAGCTAACTGAGGATTTGGAGACCATGATACAGCCTCAGGTGACTCAGTCTTAGAAGGCAGAGCATGAATTTGTACCCAGTATTTTTGAATCCAAAGCCCTTGCCCTTTATTGTCATCCCGTACTTGCTCAGCTGCCCATTTTGTGGTATTATTAGAGTCGAGAAATTGTATCTTCGAGAGACTTATATGTCTCATTTATGACTGTTTCTAAAAACAAAACATCATCCTCTTCCTTTTTCTTGCCTCTCGTGCCCACTGTAAAACTGTTTAGGATATTCTTTGCCCAGAACAAAATCGTTGATTCTTAAGACCTAAATGGGTTTTGATCTGTTTCCCTATCATCTCAGGGTCGTCCTGCCAGGGCATCCTTGCTCCTTGAGCAGCGAGAGCAGAGAGGGGACCACTCTCACGTTACTGACAGAAATCAGTCCTGTGGAGTGACCCAGACAGTGTCTTCCGAGGAGTGATCCCCATACCTGGTACTGTTCACTTACAAATGCTTGTGAACAAACAGTATCCGAACAGAAGGAAAGGACTTTACTGAGTCTGGCACCTTCCTTCTCTTCCTCTTCCACTTCTTTCTTAATTTTGGACACAGAACTTAATGAACATCTGCTGTGTGTTAGTCACTGTGGATGGTAAATACAATACAAAGTAGAATGAATAAAGGTCAAATCAGGTTTGGAGAAACAACTATGCAAACCAAAATCAGTTTTCTTAATTCTTTTACAATGCCTGTACTGATTTGCTAGAGCTTAAGACTAAATGGTTTAAACAACAGAAATCTATTTTTTCACAATTCTAAAGGCTGGAAGTCCAAGATCAGGGCATCAGTAGAGTTATTGGCTTCTCCTGGGACCTTTCTCCTTGACTGGCAAACGGCTGCCTTCTCCCTGTGTCCTCATGTAGCCATTTCTCTGTGCATACCATCCCTGGTGTCTCTGCCTCTTCTTATGAGGATACTGCTCATAAGATTAGAGCACCACCCTTCTGAACTCTTAACCTTCATTACCTCCTTAGAGGCTCTATCTTCAAAAGCAGTCACACCGAAGGTTAGAGATTTAACATATTTAAAACTGGGGGAATATAGTTCCCGTAAAATGCCCATTACTTAAATGGCTATAATGTGCAATGGAAAGAAGAGTACTCTTCAAAGAGAGTAGTCAAAACTGTAATTTTGGTAGGTAGTATGGATGCTGGAGCCAGAGGTTCAAATCTCAAGTCTGCCACTTCCTGACTGTGAATATTGGTCATTTCTTAACTTCAGTGCTTCATTCACCACCTTTTAAAACAGGGGCAACAAGAGTACAGACCTCCTGGGTTATTGCCAGTTGAAATCAGAGTTGGCTGCTAGTGGTAGATGAATGGTTTTAAAGATGGTATTGCTCCTTTATTTCCCTCTGGATATAACACCATAGAAACCATGAGAATAAAATGCAAGGAGAAAGATGACAGATATAAAACACCTTGAGAAGTATTAACACACTAAATTTTCTTAATTATGTCGATTTATTCTGTATAATAGTAGCTGTGAAGATAGGATGCACACAGGACAGACACGTGAGATTCTTAAATTTGCAGCTTAATTCATTCTTTATTGAACACCCACTGTATGTTAGAAATTGTTTCAGGCACTTTGGAGACAGCAGTGAACAAAACGGACAGAAACCGCTATTCTCCTGAAGCTTACATTCTAGAATGGATGTAGATCACCTCCACACTCAACACCCACTTCAGAAGTTGGAGAAAATGAGACATATCCAATAGAAGGCGGTGGGGGGACCAGTCAATCAGCAACATCACACAGCCAGATGAGATCTATTAAGTGGCCAGAGAACACACAGGAGGAGTGTTAACTCTGGGGTTGCACGGGCTCCCCAAGTGCCGCTCTGATTCCTGAGAGGCAGATTTGGGCTTCTCCGGTCCCAGTGCCTCGGAGCCGACCTGTGCGCCCCGCCCTGCCCGGCGGCTGCGCGCCTCGCGGCGGCGGGGGCCGGGTGCGCCCCGTCGGGCCGGGACCCGCGGTCACTGCGGGACCCGACGCGCGGCGCCCCGGGGACGCGCGGCGAGCCGACGCCGGCGCGGGTTTTGAAGCAGCGCTGCGCACCCGGAGGCGGAGCGCCGCGAGCCCCGAGCCACCGCCCGGGAACCCGACCCGCTGGTCCTAGGTCCCGGGCGGCGGTCGCCGTGTGTGCCAGTGACTTTGGCTTTGGCTTTGGCTTTGGCTGGGTGTCTCCTGACCCACGTCACCGGCTTGACATCCTCGCACCAAATCAGAGGGCGGCGCTCGCCGGGAGCCCCGGGCGTCATCGGGAGCTCCCGCAGATTAGAACTCGCCTCTCCTAGCTCCTCCCCTCAGTCCCATTTAAAGCTCCCACCCGCTTTCCGGGAAAATTAAGAGTGGGCTCAGGTTCTGCAGCGCCTTCTTCCACTGCAAGATGGTAAGTGGGAGCTGGCGTTAGCTAGTCCGCTGGCGAAACCGAGGGGCTCTGAGAGCTAGTCAGCTTTGCCTTTAGAATTTCTTCTACCTTGGAAACAAAATTTCTCTGCTACCTGCCAATTAAAACCGGTCTTCTTTGCTGCCCCACCTCCCTTTTCTTCTCCCCTATCTTCTGGCTTTCTCTCTGTCTCTCTCTCTTTCTCTATCTCCCTCTCATCCTTTTGCCCTCTCTGTAATTTCTACTCCCTGCACTCTCTCCCAGCTTTCCCTTTCCACCTGCACTCACAATTTTCATTCCACCTCTTCCTCTAGATTATGCACATATTTGCAAACACTTGAACTTGAGCCTAGGGGTATTTGGGGTTTGTTTTCGTCTCAGGTGTCAATTGCATAATAGCTCAACTCTGATTCCAATAATAACCTCAGGGAAAGAGCCTACAAACATGCTTTTAGAATAAAAGAAAATGCACTTGATAAACTTTTGGCTGAGTTTCTCTGGTCTGCACTGCCCACGCTGGACTTGCTTCAAGACAGGACTTTTTCAAAACTTAACTTACCGGGAACGTTAACAAAGTGTGACTTAATTGACTTAACATTTTTCCCCTCTTATTTGTTTTCTGTTTATGTTATGCCCAAGAAAGTTCTCAAGTCAACAAAAGACTTGCTGTGGTCAAAGAGGGTTTGTCCAAAGCTGGGCTCTGCTGAAATGAATGGCTTTTACCTGATTAAACATTGACAAATAATTAGGAATGGGCTGTTGTACAAATTAACTCAGGGAGGCTGCATACCTGCCCCTGACTGGACATTTGGAAAGACTGTGTGTTTGAGGTTTGAGGAGTCAGGGGCAGGAGGGTGTTCACTGGCTCAGAACACAGCAGGGAATGCATGCCAGGCAGTTAGTACTGGCAAGATAACTTTGGAAGGGCATTGAGACCTGGCGATGGAGAGATCTAGATAGAGCTTGCTGTCTCTGCTAACTGACCTATTTCAGCTCTTTGATTGATTATATGTTTAGTTGGAGTGACTTTACACTCCTGTGATTAGAGTTAGGAGCAAAATATATTTAGTTATCTCATATATGTATATGTGTGTGCATATATATGTGTATGTGTATGTATATATATATATATATATATATATATATATATACCTCAAACTATTCAGATCACCATAAGATCGAACAGCACTGAAAACCAGAGGAAAAGAGAAATAAGGAAGGGAGGAATGGGACAGGTTTATAGCTCAGACACTTAGAAACTAAAATGAGGAGTTTAGATTATATGTCATCTTCTGTCCGTTTCAGCCTTAGCATCCTGCATTCTTTGTCTTTCAAGGTTATTTGAAATATAATTAAGACATTTGATAGAAAGAGTCAAATAGTTCTTACGTGTTTCATTCATTAAGTAGAATTCCTTTTACTTAGATCTTGGGTAGCCTGTTAGATGACTCAGACATGGCAACAGAAAATACTCCTGGATATTTACAAATTTGGCCCAGCTAATACTAGCCTTTTCTTTGCTGAGTGGACCCAAGGGAAGTACTGGGTAAACCAAGGAACTGATTCTCTTTCAGTAATTATATTTGGACCACTCAACATTAATCTGGGATCTATACTTAACACCTTTATTGTTTTTATATATTTTCTGCTTCTTTCTCCCACTCTTTCTCCCCTCCAAATCCCCATCACCCCATCTCTTGGGACCCCCCCCCATCCTGCATACTGAATTTCACAGAACACCGTCCTGCCTTGCCAAGACCAGTACTTTGTAGGAGGCCAGAGCTATAATTGCCCGTATTCTGCTACAACGTCAGAATCTAGTGTTGACGTTTCCACGGAGACTTGGGTCTCTTTCTGGGCTGCTGGTCTCCTGGACAACAGAGAGCCCCAACAAGCACTACAGGCACAGGGTAAGTTCTGCTCTTCTGCTTTTATGGTGGATCTGAAGCCCTTTTCCAGTACTCATAGTTGCAAAGCATCATGGGCTGAAACTCTGTAGAAGAAGGGATGATAAGAAAGCCCCAAGCTCCTGTATGTTGTAACTTAAATAACCTGCTTTTTTGTAATTGCCATATAGTGACCATAGGATTCTTCCCCTTAACCACTAGACAATACGTATTTCTTCCTCTACTTTATAGTTCTTGGAGATTTCCAACTCACTGAGAAAGTTTGGGTCTGGGTCAAAGTTTTATAAACAATGCTAGTGGGATGCTTTTGGAGTTAAGATACCAGTTGGAGCTTTTCTTTTGGAATTTAGGGAAGTTTCTCTGGGAATGAGAGAAAAAAGCAAGGAGAAATACTAACTTAATCTTTTATTTCATAAAGGAAATTCTATGAATAATTTCTTATAAGTGGAAAAAATGATTTCGTTTTTGCCTAAAGAAGACTTCAGCAACTTTGGAGGGAAGTGTAACTTTGATGGGAAATTGCACATTAATTTTGCCCTGGGGCTTAGTAAACAGGGTTTATAAATAGTAAAGGAGTTTTTGTCTTATCACTCAAGTTTCTAGAAAAACTCTAAGACATTTCAGAATTCAGTATCTGTGCTGTCAGTTCTGCAATATGATTTTATTGAATTGAAGAAAAGACAAAAACAAAAAGCCCCCAAATATTGAAACACACTTATATGTCACGAGGGAAGTTGTTCAATTGTAGCTTCCTACCACAAGTAACAGAACAAGCAGAATACCCAAAATTATAAAACCAAAGAGTATATAAAATTGTCTTCCTGTTTTCCTTGCCCATCATTCCACTTTAATCAAAAATATGTCGGTCATATTTCAGTTTAGATAGAGGAGGGCAAGAGTTAGAACTGTACTAGATGAAGAAAGGAAAGATTAGAAAATGAGGTAGAAACCTGAAAAACATAGTAGAATTGCAATGTAAGCCCAGCTAGGGGCGGGGCCAGTAAACAATTGCTTGACTAATAATGCACATGGGACAGGGACAGTCTTTATAAATTTAGCAAGCGGGAATACATACATTAGGAAGGAACGTGACCTCTTGGCTTCTAAAAATTCACCTCTGTAGCCCCTTTGGCATATACTATATAAATATTTGTCTTTCGTAGCATGCTTGTCCCTTCTGAAAGCTTTAAATATGTTATTTTCCCATGTGGAGGCAATGGCTAATTTTGGAAAGGTAATTGATCCGATTACCTTTCTGAAATTCTTCACTGAGTTTTTTATTACACAGACACTGCACATTTGTTTTCTCAGTTATCCATTTGGTGTTTTCACATAGAATCATCCAGTGACTCGAATTTCCCTGTTCCTAATTCATGTTCATGGGAAGAGGCTCAGCTTTCCTCTCAGCTCTACAGAAACAAGCAGGTATGTGTAGATAATCAGAACATGGAGACCAGCCATGTGCCAGGCAGTTCATTCTCAACATCATCCCTGAATGTTACATCGCTTCTTTCCCCATGTTCAATGCATTAACTTTCAGCTGAGAACCAAAAAGGATATTTGTCCACAGAGAAATCAAAGTTAGGTCATCAATGTGACAGCAAATAACAGCAACCAAGCCAACAACAACCAAAACCCCTGAGGAAGACCTGCAGTCAAGCCCTGACCTTACACACGTTAGTGGTATGACCTCGTAAGTCCTCCTTTTCCTCATATAAGAGATGGAGATATTTGTGCTGCCCACCTCAGAGGGCTGGTGAAAAGATCAAATGATACAATGAGTGTGACAGTATTTTTCAACTATAAGCAGCTCATCACTTGGAGAAGGGATGGTGATTATAAAAGTTCTTGCAGAGGTTGCTTCATTTTCCAGATTTTGTTTGTTGTTACTTCCGAGAGAGTGATTTAATCCAGTGGACGTACAAACAGATTGATCGGTGGCTAAGGGAGGCCAACCCACATCTTTTTTCTTTCTCTCTCTCTTTTTTTTAACATGCAAGGAAGGGGTTCAACGAAACCTGTCTAAACACCGTGTTCTATATTTAAACAGTTGCACGCAACTCATTTTCCTACATACCTTCCCAATTCCCTTGCGGTTACAATTTTAAAAGTCATATAATATCTGCAAATACTTTACAATGAATAAAACTGAACAATCAGGTGGTAGGTGGGTGTAGATTGAATTTAGGCCTCTGAGGACCAGGGCTACCTGAGATTGAGTTCATAAAACAAACAGAATAATAATCAAGTTTAAGCAGTTATGGATCAGTGGCATTATTATAAGGTTACAGAGTCAACATAGTGGAGCAGCCTTCACCATTGTCTGCTTTTTGCAGCTCCAAGATACTCTGGTGCAGAAAGAAGAAGAACTTGCTAGGTTACATGAAGAGAATAATCATCTCAGACAATACCTGAATTCTGCTTTAGTTAAATGTCTTGAGGAAAAGGCCAAGGTATGTGACTATCCCCTTTGCAAGGACAGAGCAGTGATTTGCAAAAGAAGACCATTTGGGTAAAACTCCTTGATTAAGTGTAAGAGGTGTATTAAACCATGTGCCTTGAAATGCATGACTAGGCGGATGAATTTTTTTGAAGGAAATATAGCACTTTCACGAGAATTTCTATGTATCATTTCTCTGAAGTATCTAGATGGTAGCTTTCAGCCATATATTACAAAAGAAGTTGCTTAAGAATCAAATACCAATCAAGGCGATTGCTGAGACAACAGAGGTTAATCAGAAGGTAGAGTTAGATGGATGGAACCTTGACGTGGGAATTAGATCTGAGACACGCTGTGTTCTTCTAATTACCTGTTTGACTTTGGGTAAGTCACTCTCTCACTTGGGGCCTCAGTTACTTCATTTGTAAATGAATGAGCTAAAAGATCTTTTAAGAATCTTTCGAGCTCTAAAATGTTATCAATATGGCTGAAGCCCAGATCTCTTGACTAGCAATTAGATCTAGCCAAATATTTATCTTTTAATGAACATTTTTTTCTTACTCTTTTAAAATGAACTGTTCCTAACTCAAGGATAAATACTGGGAGTTTGAGATTTGTAGATACTAACTAATATATATAAAATAGATAAATAAGTTTGTACTGTATAGCACAGGGAACTATATTCAATATCTTGTAGTAGCTTATGGTGAAAAAGAATATGAAAATGAGTGTATGTATATTCATGTATGACTGAAACATTTTGCCGTACAACAGAAATTGACACAAAGTTATAAACCGACTATACCTCAATTAAAAAACAAAAGGATAAATACCTTGCTCACAGTCTTTTTTTTTTTTTCCTTTTTAGTTCTTCCTCTCTTTGGGTTTTATATTGTGTTGTCTGTTTGCTATTCTGTTATCATTATTGTTTCTATTATCAATCTCTACCTTACTTCTAGGCAGGCTACTCATTTATCTAAATCAATCATGTTTCCTACGGCTTTTACCATATATAACAATTCCTTCAGAATTCAGTCAGCTTTGTTTAAAAAAGGAGCACATCTTATAATCATTAGCCTGGGTTCCTATCTCCAGCCACCATTCTATTAAAAAAAAGAAAAAAGACAGTTATTAAATTAGTAAGTGATATTAATTAGGCAAATTTGTCTCTCTTGTTCTCAATTTTGCAAGCTTTAGAATGATATGATACATATAACATGGGAATGCTAAGATAGTTAATAAAATTAGAGGAAGTGGTGATGCATGGCATTTCAATTAGTGGTTCTATCTGGATTCAGATGGCTTAGTTTTAAACCTAGGCTGCGTGATCCTTAGCAAGTTGCTAATATTCCTGTGTCTCAGTTTCCTCATTAAACTGGATTTTAATAGTATCTACATAAAATGAGATCATGCATTCAACCAGTCCTCAATAAATGATAGTTGCTATTATTGCCATTATAATGATCATCATCATTACTTCCCTGAATTGAAATTTTATAGACATCATTCAATCCTTTCAACTTTTACATGACTAGCAAACTAATATGAATTGGAATTTCTAGGTGATAACTTGTCATCATAGATTTTAATTTAGAAACAAGTTAATCCAGTCGCTTTTGCATCTTTGTGGAAAAAAATAGAAATTTAATCAAATTGTCTGAGGAATGAAGGTGATTAGTCACTATCCGACAACAGTAAAGAAAATGATGTAGGTTGATTATCTGACTGTGTATTTTCAAATATTACCTCTCCAGAAATTGCTGTCATCAGAAGAGTTCTCCAGAGCACGTGGAAACTTCAGAAAGGGGAAGAGGAAACCCAGGGAGCAAAGATATTTTCCTCCTGAGATTCCCCATCATAAAAATGCCAAGAGAAACCTCTCTAGTGAATTTGCTAATTGTGAAGAACAGCCGGGGCCCCCTGTGGATCCCTGGGTTCTTCAAACTCTGGGGTTAAAAGATCTCAACACCATTGATGACACCTCATCAGCTAACTACAGTGCCCTCTCGTCCCATCCAGCACGGACCACCAGTGTGTTCCCCCAGTTTCTGGATGATGCGGTTGGTTATCACAATGCCCCCGGGCAAGATCTGCCCATTGACTGTGGAGGTGACAGAACGGCCCCTTCACACAGCACTTCCAGCCATAGGGAAGAGTTTCATTTCCCTTCTCAGCTTTCCAGTACCCCAGGAGGGCTGCAGACTCCTCCTTACTATGCTTCTGATGTGTCGCCCAATAAGACGGAGGTGGCCTTTTCCACATCCCTGAGCCCTCACTGTAATGTGAAAACTCACTCCTTCCACCAGGGACAAGCCTTTGTTCGTCGAGATGAAGAGGGAGGCTGGAAGTTTACCTGGGTCCCTAAGCAGTCTTAATGACCCCTCTTCTATCACAAAGGACTGCCATGAACTCTGTTTACAAAGACCTCTCTTGCACTTGAACCCAACTCTGTGGAAAATGCAAGCTCTTGCCCAGACTGTCTCCTGCCACTTGAAATGTCACTCTCAATTACCCACTTCCATCTGCAGGGAATGGCTTCCAAGAATCCATAGTGAAGCATGCCCGCTCTTCTTTCACCTAAATTTGACTTGTTTACACACCCACACCTGCTGTTGACGTCCTCCCTCGGCCCTATACTTGAAAAGGCATTTTTCCAATTGCCTGAATATTCCTCTGAGACTTACATATGCTGTTCCAATTATAACACGCCTAACAGCTTTTCTCCTCTCATCAAGCAGTTTCAATGTTCACAGCCTTCACCTTTTCACTTTTATTCCTCTCCTGCTCCTCTTCATTTCTAAAAACTGCCTTTGAAATGAGCATTATAATTGCTCCAAGGACCTGTTATTGAGTGTTCAAATAACCGAGGGTGGGGTGGAAGCAAGTGTCTCTGCTTCCCAGTCGCATTCCTGAAGACACAGTGCAGCTGTGAGTAATGCTTTGTGTAGGGCAGTTCGGTAAGTTGAGTGTCCCATGGTGGAGTTGACAAAAAAATCTCTTCAAGCAGCTGTAACTCTACTGATAAGCAACACCACTGATAAACTGAAAGATAAAAGAAAATTAAAATTACTCCAAAATGCCTGCATAGTGTATCAGCTTCTCTAGGCACTTGGCACTGTGTCGGCAACCAACATGGATCTAACAAAAACATTTCTGAGATGTTTGTGGTAACAGGATAAGTCACGATCCTAAACTACTTAGATGCTGATAACCTTCTACTTCTCCAAGTATAATCTAGCCTAGCTCTGACACTGTCTCATTCATTCAGTCATTCATGTCTTCATTTATCAACCCACCCAAAATATTTGTGGAACATCAATGGTGTACCAGGCATTGTGCTATGGGGTGGTAATAAAAAGTGAACAAGTCAGACACTGTGGCCACACTCATGGGAGACCCACTCATCTGCCTTGACCTTGAGAAAGATGGTGTGAAGTTTCAGTTTTCCCAGCTACGGAGTACAGATGGTGGACTAGGTAATCACTAACAGTCTATAAATTGAGACAGGGCCCCAACAGCTTTGTTCCAATGCTGCCACCCTAGGTCACTATTCTCTACTTTTGATTGGCATTGCAGATATGTTGGGTGTAACTTATGTACAGTTTTTGAAATGTGTGAGCCATGTGCCATTACTCTGATCACAGTATTCTTTTTCTGGTATGAGCCTATTTTGTGGGTTAATTCAGTCTTTGTGAGAACATGCACCTAAAAAATAGAGACCTTAATTTTTAAATAAGAGGGCATAGATTTATTGGAAATATTGATGTCAAAGATTTCTGTTCCTAAATTTTTTAAAGAAGTATTCTTTTTGCTCATTCTAATTCTCCCTCTTTCCAATTCCCCAAGCTCTCTAACCTTCCCAGAATAATTTACATATCAAAGATGTGCACCTGTTTTTTATTTTTTTGGACCAAACTTCAGTTGATAAATCCACTGTGTTGAACCCCTTCCCCACTTTTCCGTTTTTCACCTTTCAGTAAGTCATCTTGTACAATCAATGCCTCAGAGCATGAGTGTGCTATTTGGAATTCTTTGTAACTAAGACATGTCTTTTGTTGCTGTTTGGTGTTTGCTTTCTTCTGGTGATGTGAGTAAATAATCTATTTTATAAAGTTTTGTTATCACTCAGATTTCTTTGTAATCCGTGAAGGGCAATTAAATATGTTAATTATTTTCATGTCTTAGAAAGAGCTAGAACACTTTCTATTTTCTAAAAACAAAATTTTTAAAAAGTGTCTGTATTCTAGTCTCTGTTCCCCTGGTAGAGGTGAAATGTATCTCTCTTTAATAACACATTTAAAAACTAAAACTGACTATACTTTAATATTAAGAATCAAAAAAGCAACATAAGTATTTTGAAAGCCTAAATGATCATGCTGTAACACAAAATTGATTAGTCAACAAATAATTATTTTGCATTTTTATGTGCTTCACTGGGGGTTAGGTACTATGAGGAAATACCTGGGCTTAACAGAATGCATTTGGTACATAAAACAAAGCCACATTAAATGTAATAACTTTTAAATGAAACCTCGTCTTAGCCTGGTTTAAAGAAATTACAGCACATTTGTGGTAAATTATGATAACTTGCTCTGGCCTATATGGGAGAAAACTACACCAGATTATCACAATCTCATCTACCAGGCATTCGATGTTCTCTTGAATTATGTATAGAAAATTATTTTGTTGATGTTTGAAAAATTAGAACTTTCTCTCACCTGAGTATATGTTCTAACTTTTATGGTTTTACTATGCCCCTCTAGTAAACCACTGTTAATATTTTACTAATATAAAGTGAAAAATAAAAGTTAAACAGCTCTTTTGTGATTTCAATGAATATTTTTATATTGTGCATAACATTTTCCAATAATGGATTTTCCTCTCCTAGGTTTTAACCATAATCTTTTGATTTGCACCTCTTTTGTATGATATATATGGCCAGACGAATATTTTCAGCATTTAGGACTCAATGGTTCTTTCCTTTACCCAGGATATATTAACGAGGCTTTCAGATGTTAAGTGGCCTAAGAGGTCAGGTGCTTTGTGTGAACAGCACTCTCTTACCTAACCTCCCATAAAAATTAGAACTCAGTATCAATTTTTAAAACTTGATGACATTTCTTATGCCCTTTGATCATTTGAAAAAGAATCATACTTGTGTCTCACTAGTATCTGGAAAATAAGGGCAATTGGAAAACCTTATGCAAGTGACATTTAATGAATGGGGTTGTTTAATACTGCAGTGATGCTAAACTACGATTTTGAAAATTTTGAAGAAAAGAAACTATGTGAATCAATGGAAAGAATTGCTCTGCTTGATCTAATTCAAGAAAACAATTAAAAAAAAACTGTGACAAAGTGAACAACCAATCTACGAAAGTATAGCGTTAATACATCAGTGATAATTTTTAGATAAATTTGCGTCTTGCCTGTAAAGTTAAGATACACAATTTACATTTGTTTCAGTTTACCAAAAGATTCACATAAGGTAAATATTAAATGCACCATTAAATTTTTTTACTAAACCAAATAAAATTGATTTATAAGCTGCAAATGTATATTTCTTAACATATTTGTCATATTTTATCTACATTTTTGTTACATGAACATAACTAGACATCCAGTTATAATTCTTACATTGGATATTCTATAAATGTAAGATATAATTTAACACTTAATATTTTAAATGATTATGATTTGTCTATGATTTAAAATATTTCTAATTGTATATGAGTCAATTTTGTAATGAATTTATATCTAATAAATAAATAAATGACAAAAACAGTTAATCCTACTTGTTTATGGCCTTCTTTTAGAAACCTTTTCAGTGAATGGAGCAATAGATTAAGAAAAGGCATTCTCTACTCTTTTCTGCCATGAATATTAAGTCTCAATTTTAAGTGAGACATTTATTCAATAGATATATTCTGTGCCACACTCTGCAGAAGATATAAAGATGAAATATGTTCTTAAAGTAACTTGGCTATAAATCAAAGAAATTAACTTAAATGTGCTTAGTCAAAGCAAGGGAATAATTAGCACACATAATTGAAAAGTTTGTACTTCAGATATGGCTGGATCTAGGTGCTCAAGCAAAATTGTCAGGAATGTGACTTGGGATCTCAAGGAAAGCTAATTATTAGGAGTGAATTCTGGAAAGGTGTTAAGATAGTACTCACCACACAAAAGTGTGACAGCAGCCAGGATGACACAGGCAATATGAGCTTGCAGAGCAGCAAGCTATATCCCATGAGATACTGTCTAGTTTTGTGACATTCTCCTTATCCTTCACCTTGTAACACCACCGTCCCAAATGAATAAAGCCTCAGTTATATGTTCCAGACTGGTCTCAGTTATACCATGGGAGATTATGAAAATATTTAGGTGCCTGCACATGAAAATTGTGAGCAGATTTTCCCTGAAGCCACTATACAAGCCATGCACTTATCCCTAAGGGGAAGATTAATATCAAGAGAAATGGCTTGAGACTTGCATATCAGGCCAATAATAACAATAATAATTGTTACATGGGTTACCAGTAATGGATAATCTGGATTTTATTTAGTCTCCTTACAGGGATTTTCTTTTTTCTTGGCGAGAAATACCCCTAAACCTCACTCACTCTAAGTAACCCTTGAAGATGGATGTTGTAAGTACAGGTTATTAGAAATGTCTTGATATCCATTTTACAGATGAGAAAACTGGTTCTAAATGTTTTCTAGATCACATTGCAGTAAGTAGTTGAGACCCAAGGCACTGACTTTACACCTAGTTCTTTTTTTTGTTATAAAACACAATGATGATTTTTGGGACCAGTAAACGTATTTGCAGTCTGAAGTCTGTTACAGACTCTTACAAGCCTCAGAGCTAGAGGGGGTTTTAAATCTTTGCTTACATTCATCAGATGGCTATTCTGGGGTTCACACGCTCTTAATCCCATCATTGCTAAAAGGGATTGTTCAAAAAAGACCTAATTCATCCTCCATCATTTCAAAAAAAGGAAGTATATGAATTGAAAACTACTGTGGAAATTTGGGATAAAGAGACTAGGGTGGAAAAGTTAGCCAACTCACAGTGGAAAATATTAATATGCTTAAACAAAAGAAAGCTAAATTAAAAGGGAAATAAATCTCTCTTCGGCTGCTAATTCAAAAGCCTGAAGTAGCAGTTTATAAACAATGCTTATGAAGCCTCTTTCTCCCTCTCTTTGTACAGGAAATCAACAGATTGCATACCTGCTGAAGTGATGTCATTATTTCCGTTCCTGTCAATCATTTTAAGTATAATTCTAAGGGACAGTAAAATAGTTGAGGAATTATATTTATAACACTGAGCACACTTCTTCTAACTCACAGAAAGCATTCTGCTCCCTCACTTTGGAAATCAGGGGTTAAATGATACTTTTTCAAAGGCACAGTGGATATTTTTTTCTCATCTCTTTTCCACATTTATAATCTGAAATAATAAAGCATAAAAAAGGGTGTTTCAAGGTAATTTCTTATTTCAAGTCCTTAGTACTCAGTGGGTGGTCCCTCTGGGATGAGGCCCACG